ACACACACACACAGACACACACACACAGACACACACACACGTGCACTAGCTCAGCAAGAATGAAGTGCAACCTGCTTTAGAAAACCCTCTACTGGAGTTTCCACCACGTGGCTCTGACCAACCCTCTGGCCTCTGTGTGTTTGGGGCTGGCTGCTCTGGAGGGGAAGGTGTGACAGCCGGGCGGGCTGGTCTCACCCAGGGCCACTTGGCTCTTCCCTGGGCAGGCACGCAGGGGCCTTGTCAGAAATAGCTCTGGGCTCCCACTTTGGTGGGGCTCGCCCTGTGCCCAGAGCTTTGGCATGCCAGAATTGGCAGAGCCTGCGCGCCAGCTGGCTGTATCTTCCCCTGCTGTTTTCCAGATGAGGAAACTGAGGCCAGGTGCAGAGGCTCACACCTGTGATCCCAGCATTCTGGGAGGCTGAGGCAAGAGGATTGCTTGAGCTCAGGAGTTTGAGACCAGCCTGGGCAACGCGGTGAAGCTCTGTTTCTTTCTTTTTTTTTAAATTAATTAATTAGTTAATTAATTTTTTTAGACTTTAAGTTCTAGGGTACATGAGCACAACATGCAGGTTTGCTACATAGGTATACGTGTGCCATGTTGGTGTGCTGCACCCATCAACTTGTCATTTACATTAGGCATTTCTCCTAATGCTGTCCCTCTCCCCTTCCCCCTACTCCACCACAGGCCCTGGTGTGTGATGTTCCCCGCCCTGTGTCCAAGTTTTCTAATTGTTCAATTCCCACCTATGAATGAGAACATGTGGTATTTGGTCTTCTGTTCCTGTGTTAGTTTGCCCTGGGCGACAGAGCGAGATCGTCTCAAAAAAAAAACAAAAACATAAAAAAAACAAAAAATATACGTAGCTCAAGGAGACCAAGCTAATCATATGATTTATTCCAGAAGGACAGAACCCTCCTATTACATATTCTCTGTCGATTAACGGAGCCTGCCCAGGGGCTCACATATATAATTTCCCACAGGGAGAAACTGACTAAAGACCAGAAAGGATCCGGCCGGTGTGCTCCTGGTGCAGTGAAGCTTCTCTTCTGGCACCTGCCTGCATCGCGGACAGGGGGCCCCTTCTTCTTCCTGGTTCCTGTGTGGACCTGCTCAATGCTCAGTTTCTTTCTTTGTTCTTTTGGTTTGACATAGGATCTCACCCAAGCTGGGATGCCAGTGCACATCACAGCCAAACTCCCAGCTCGCGTGATCCCCCCTGCCGCCAGCTCATGAGTCATTAGTAGTTGGACCACAAGACAATTGCCACCAGCTGGAAATTTTTTCTTTTTTTTGAGAAAGCTCAGAGTTTGCCATGGTTGGCCCAGCCTGGTCTTCAAAACTCCTTGAGCTCAGCCAATCCTCTGCCTTGGTCAAATC